CCTCCAGCCACTCGTCATAAGACTTCTGCTCTAGACACTTCATCTCACATTATAGACAGAATTAAACAGTTGACAATGATTGTGATCAACCTTATGTCAGTTATAATCAATTTTCAAGAAAACAGGTTAATACAGACCTTTACAGTACACAGGCTCTCTTTTCCCTTTCTGAATGGTTGGCAATAATCAGCGCACTCCATTGTCTATGTTTAATTTGATTCTTAAACAATGGCATAGGCAATATGCTTGTCACAGCACTCAGGTTATTCAGACTATTGGTTCACATCCCGAATTAACTAGAAAATCATTTGCATCTTGTTTTACTTTTCAGCAAATTGGAACTTCTCCCCCCAAGCCCATGATTTGTGTATGAGTAAGAGAAAACAGAAAACGCCTTAATATATGGAAATCATGTAACAAAGCAAAAGAAAAAAAAAGCAACTCTTCATCCTGATTCTCCCAAAGTTTTGCTACTTGCCAGTATTTATACAGATTAAAGGCATCAATCTGCTTTGCTCCTCTACTAAATCAAGTAAGCCTGAAATCTCCATGGATTGGGTATTTTGTCCAACTGTCTTGAGAAGAGTCAGACCCATAAAGTTTATTAAATGTTTCAGGAAATGAAATGCAATAAATAACTTCTCTAACTACTGTTACTGGAAATATTCTTTATATTAAGGCTGAATTCAGAAATGCAGCTGACACAAAAAAATGTATTCTATATATCTTTGATGCAACATATAATTCACTTTGTAGAAGCTTTTCTGTCCTACTAAAAATCAGATTTAAAGGAGAATATTACGGTGTCACCTTTAACAGAAATACCAGTTCAGTCCTTTTTGTGGTAGTGCCACGGATCCCATTCTGATTTTATTGATATGTACACATTTCGCTGCATGGAAACAATTTTTCTAGAGGCATGTGGAGCTTCTTGAAATATATTTGAACCCCAACTTTAAAACTTAGTTTTAAACTAAATGAATCTACATCGTATAACATTGATTATCTAAAAAACAGTGATGCAAGAGCCTAGATGTCCTCTTTATTGACAGAAATGTTTGTTTATATACTAGAAATGGTTTTTTTATGAGGAACTGTTGCCTTGGAAACCACTACGACAAATGAAAATTTAATCTCTGTGGAAAAGAAAACCCCATACTATTCACTTATCCAAAATTTACCTTCTTTTCTTGATCTATCTGAAACACAAGTATTGGCAGTCAGATGTTTCTACTCTTAATTCCTCCTTCCTATTCTAAAACTGTACGTTGCTTTAAGTTTTGCAATTCTTGGTAGCAAAATAATTCTCTTATTTCCTACCAATCCTCTTATCAAAAACACGTTTACATCTTTTGCCTCAACAGACTGGTGGACAAAAAAAACCCACAACCAAACAAAAACTTTACAAAAGTCAAATTCTGATATTTCAGTCTTTTCAGGTACTGTTTTAAAGCATTCAACAGTTCTCCAATCAGCAGGGTCACAGTCTGACTTTCTTGACAAACAAACTGTGTTATTTTAGGGCATTTGTGAGGTTTTCCATCAAGTTGAATACAGCCTCCTAACTAAACTAGGGTTTCAACGCGAGAATGGAATGTAGGAATTTGCTAGGTTGTTTTCCTTCAAGATTTTCACTGTCAGTTATTGCTTTTCCTAGGCTTAGATTCCTGATTTTTACCCTGCATGTGGGAGGATGTGCCAATAGAAATAATGCAAGATCTATCAGAAACTACAAGTAAAGAAGGAGATATGTAGATTGAATTATAAACAGGCAGACAAAGCATAAGATGTTATTAGTTGACTCAAGGCTGTGCCTGCTCAGATGTGGTAAATTCACAAAATACAAGGGCCTTCTGGCTTATTTTGGGGAGAATGCAACCGGTTTTGCCACGTTTTTGCACCAGTTCACATTTTTACGTCTGGAAATACAGTCACACAATATTGATCACAGCATTACAAGTATAAAAATCTAGTTTTTGGCTTCTGCTTGGGTTAAGTTGTCCTGTAGCTCCTGCTTCCAAAGAAAACATTCAATTGTAGCATTCTATTTCTGATAACAGGCCCAAGACAAAAAGGGGAATAAAGAATAATCTGTTTCTTCTGAGCAGTGACAGACAGTGGCGTCCTGGGAGATATGAACCTAAAAATGCTACTACTCAATGTGCAAACCCACTCTTATGGATTTCTTGTAGCTATGGGTACTGCGCTGTTATCAGTAAAAATCCCTGTGGAGAGGAAACACGAATTCTAAAAGCTCAGAACCTTTGTAGGCACTGAAGGTTTAACCTTCATATGGCAAAAGCACACTATGGAACTAAAGAGATGCTATAAAACCTTCTAGCAATCCATGTGGCCTGCTGTTGGGAAGAAATCCATGATGAGGACAGAGATCAATGACGTAATAGTGATCAAGGCAAGCTGCAAGAGGAGATGAAATCTGATGCAAGGCTCTATTCTCCTCTGGTACCATGAAAGACTGCTTAAGGGGTGAAAGTCTTCACTGAGACTTCCACAGCAACTGTGACAAACATTTCCTTCTTCCTCCCACCACCCCATTTTAGTCATAATTGTGCTGTGTTCCTTTAAGAAGTGACTCCCTGCAGAGCTTCCTACAGAGAGTATCTACTGGACTTGCCCACGGGGAGGAAGACGGGAAGGATGGAACATATGGCAGGCAAGAGCATCTCACAGAAAACTTACTTGACTATCAGCAGATTGCCCAGAATAAAAGCAACATGACACTGGGACTGTAGCCATCAGGCTACCCTCAGGGATGAGGAACGGACATTTCCCAAGGACCATAGGTGATGGAAGAGAATTGGGCAGACTCAACCACAGTGATTAAAACAGCCTGGATGTGACAATATACTTGCAAGGGCAGAGGGAGCTGTTCTATTATGCCTGATTCTGCTGCTTTGAATTCTTCCTATTTCCAAAGTTTCTAGTTGATTTTATAATGACGCATTTTCCTACCTGAGTTTCAAAGCCTTTTGATCTTCATGGTGGAACCAGTTTCATCTTAAATACTTGGCTGATACAAGGTCCTGCCACTGGCCATCAGCCTCTATAATGCCCCTCCTTATCTGCAGTACACCAATTGACATACTAAAGAAACCTGCTCGGCATGGTTTTCTAGTACAGCATGTGGCTGAAACCTTGGAGGCCAGAATCAGTGGCTCTGAGGTATACCATGTACATCAGCTGTCTCAGCCTCATGTTAACTAGCTAGGTGAACAGATAGGAAAATAGTGAAAGCATTTCATGAAAGCTCTCCTATGTTTCAAGAGAGTCCTTCAACATAGATAAACTGCCATGAAATACTCCTTTTTTAACAACACAGCTAGAACTGCTTTTAATCAGGAAATGCTATCATGAAAGAGACAGGCATAAACTACTCTGAAAAACTAATTGTTCAATATTGGTATCCAGAAAAAACTTACAGGACAAATAATAGCTGAAAGCCTCAAATTATCATTTGGTATTTTTCCTGAACCTAACTGGGAGAGATTGCTTGGCAATTTCCAGTGCCTTCCACCAGCTGAGCTGATTAGCCCATGATCAGTGCTGAGAAATGTAACGTGCCTGTCACTGGGGGCATTTGCTGCCTGCCAGCTGAGCACGCTCACATGGACAATTAGCAAGGCTCAGCCAACATGCAGTAACTTGGTAAGATGCAGTAATGTTTATTTTTCCTTTCAAGCCTTATACTAAGCAGCAGTGTGAAGCAAAAGAGGTTTATGAGAACTAAGGGGAGGAAATCTCCCTGATAAAGGAGAAAACTATGATTCCCCCACACTCCCCCAGCTTGCATATAAATACTGATAGAAAACCTTGCAAAGTGACTTGATTTGCTCCAGTCAGCTCACGCTTCTGTGTAGACCATATTCTAAGAAGTGAATTTATCAGAACATCCCTATTTTAGGGTAAAAAAGGGGGAGAACTGTAATTATATTACCTATATTAAATATATACACCAGAGTACTCACTACAACACAGTTCAATTAGATGAGTTCATTGTTTTAGCCATATATCACTTTTTAAAGTCAAACAGAGAAAAGGCTGAAATAGATTATTTCATGCTAATTTATTATCTCCATTAGAATTCTGGCACTGTGCCCTATCAAGGGAACATACAAATTCTGTGTATTCTGCAAGAGTGCTAATGAGAATGCACTCTGGCTCTGAAATAATTCTAGTTTCAGTGATAGATAGGAAAGTTAGTTGAAATCAGCTTATAAATAGCAAAGATTCTTAATGCTGCGGCTGTAACCATAACAGGAATGTAACTGAACATTTCAGAATGGTGAAAAAATGCTGTATCTGAACTAACAATTGCCTTAGCACTGCCACACTACTTTCTTCATCGTTCAGGTGCAATTGACTTCTAAATCAAATCTGAAGAAGCTTCTCCATGTTCAAGAACTTCTCACTTCACTGAACACCCCCGCCACCAAACCAAACCCATCCAAAACCAACATTTTCCAGTATGACAATTTACTTACATCACATAAGGAATTTAAGTATTAATGAAACAAATGTTGAGAGCAAGGTCCTACATTTCCTGTTAGAATGGAAGGGTAAGTGAAACAGAATCAAAATTTGAATTAACGAATACAAGGCTGGACACCACCAACAGTGGAATTGGTGAGATTCTCTCCTCCCTCACCTCCCTCTCTTAAAAACTTACCTTTGTAAATGAACACAAGTTAGCAGAAAGGGAAATGATGTGGAAAAACACCCCAAAAACCAAAACCCAAACAAACCCCAAAGAATGGAAGAGGTCTCCCACTTATGCTTGCACATTTGCTTAAAGAAAATACTTGGCAAAGGTTTATTATACATCCCTTACACAGACAAAAATTGAAACAACTTCTCTTAAATACACTGGCAGTTGGAACGACACAATTCAAACTACTGTGTGTACAGCATAGACGAATCCCAAACTGGAATAAAAGGGGCACAAGGCAATCAGCTGTTCAAATTAGATAAGACAAACTTACGCTTGTTGTGTAAGCAGCTTCAGGATCATCCTCTAACACTCGTGACAAACCAAAATCAGAGACTTTGCACATGAGGTTGCTGTTGACCAAGATATTACGGGCTGCCAGATCACGGTGTACATAGCCCATGTCGGAGAGGTACTTCATGCCAGATGCAATGCCCCGCAGCATGCCAACCAGCTGGATGACTGTGAAGTGGCCATCATGCTTCTGCAAATAAAGATGCAAGTTCAAAGAACACAGCTACTTTTCATTAATTTCATAATAGTGCTATTAAATACAACACATGTTTAAAATATATTTGTAATCCATCCAGCGAACCTGCCTGCTGCAAGCTTGGTTTTGCAAGCATTTAACATTGCACAGGTTATCCCCCTCTGCATCCAAACGTTCACACACTCCACAATCTCTGCCCTAGCAGCACTGAATGTCTTTTATCCCCAATTACCAAGATCACTTTCTCTCAAAACTATTCTTTCAGTCAAAAATCACAATGCACACAAACCCTCTCTTCATCTCTTACTTCTGCTCAAATGACTCCTGCTCAAATCTATTGGGGTTGAACACGTAAATACGAGTCATGCTGTTAACCGCACTTGTTATCTAGTCAGTCCTGGTGGGCCTCAGTTTCCTATCTGCAACACTAATGTTAATTCTTCTGTACCACCTACATCAGCACACTCCTGAATTATGTGGCAGAGGGGACTAAGTGAGTACCTGTATAGAAATCCAGTTATGGGCTCTTTGCCTTGTTTAGGTCTGACCTACCTACCATACACAGCAGACTGCTTACAGCAGTGTTTTCATGACCTCAGTCTGCAGACATTTAGCTTCTCATGGATTATTCAGGGAGCCAGGCTTTTATGTTAGCAGGAACAGCCAAATGAAAGCAAACAACTGTTCCTTGCAAGTTAACTTTCATTTTCTCTTTCAACACCTTCAGCATTGAGCTACAGACAAGCAGCAGTGTTCTGATCAGCATTCAGGACATTGCTATTGCTTGGCCCATATATTAAAGCAAAATGATTTTTATTCAGGGGAGACATTTACAGTAAATTCAGTAAAGTCATTAGGTTCAGCAAAGCAACAGGTTGAACTGCATGGATATGCTTAACCTGATTACCACAGTATTTCAGCTTCAATGATTTGGGGCTTATATTTAGCTAGTCAGGACATAAATATTTAAAGAAATAGGGAATTAGTACTCAGACGCAATTAAGACTACAAACAAACCCCACGAACCAACCAAACAAAACCCCAGACATGGAGAAATTTGATGTTACTTGCTTCTCACATTATCAGTCTTCTGAGATGAAGCAATACCAGACCAAGACCTGCCTCAAATATATATATCACTACTTAAATCAAGAAATTATACATTCTTTAATGATGAACCATTTAATGTGCATAACAGGTTGCTCAATTGAAAAAGTTGTTTGCTTATGACGCAGTTGGAGGAACGAGTTCCTGAAGTCACCATTACTCAACTAAATTCTACTGGGCGCAAACAGAAGGACAGACAAACTTAGCAAACGCAAAAGGCAGAAACAGCGCAGATTCTGCAGGTTGTAGAACTTGCAGAGCGTCCTGAAACTCTACCAGCTCCTTTCATAAAATCAACTGGCAGAAAAACCCATGTGCAGCAGCGTATGAAAACCTACATTATGGGCAACACTCAGCAGTTACTGATGAGTGTAACTAGTTACGCTATCTAACAGGTTATAACACACCAAAACAAATAAAATGCAGACAGAAAATGGTAACAGAAGATATGCACAGTTGCTACACAGTTCAGCTTCCAAGCTGCTGTTCTAACACATCAGAATGCAAAACTTAAGATACTAATACACCTTGCCAGCTAGAACACCTCACACCCTCATCAGACCTCCCAAAACCACTTGTATTTAAAGAGCCATGCTTTGACCAGAGTTCAGATGCCCCAGCCATCTCACAGACCTCTCTTTATCACACTTAGTGATGCTTCTTTGAAACCAGATATTTATGACTGATTCATAGCAATTTTTTTCCCTTCAATAGTCTTGCTGTTTCTCTCTCAGCAGTACTCTAGAGCCTTTTTGTCTCTAAATTCCCCATGCAAAAGCAGAGGCAGATCTCCCTTATAAGCACCCACTTATAAGCAACCCTCTTCCTTTACTGTCTCCATCAAAGCAACCTGTAAGCTGTTACTCCTGCAAATGACACTCACCTGAGGATCAAGAGAGAAGTGTGATAACCAGATATTTTACAACAGCCCATCCCCTATTACAGGCTCATTACATTCCCTATCACAGGCCACTATCACAAAAATGCAGGGAGCCTGTCACAATCAAAACCATGTCACTGACAGATATTTTCAATAAAAACTTTCCAGCCAGGAATTAAGTAAAAATAGAGACAATATTCTTAATAAATATTGTATTCATTGTAATAAATATTCTTAATACAATTTCAGTACAGGAAGGACACTAACTCTACCCAGTATTTTATGTAATGAAATACATGGGATTTGGGTTTTGCTTTTATTTAATAATTCTAACTGTTCGATTGACTCAAAATTTATTAAGCTGGTTGCAAACTGTTAATGCTCTTCACACCCGTGTAGATACCTTTTTTAGCTAATTGTAGAATTAGAACCATAGAACAGTTAGGGTTGGAAAGGACCTTAAGATCATCCAGTTAAACCCCCCCCCTGCCATGGGCAGGGACACCTCACACTAAACCATGGCACCCAAGACTCTGTCCAACCTGGCCTTGAACACCATCAGGGATGGAGCATTCACAACTTCCCTGGGCAACCCATTCCAGTGCCTCACCACCCTTACAGTAAAGAACTTCCTCCTTATATCCAATCTAAACTTTCCCTGTTTAAGTTTTAACCCGTTGCCCCTCGTCCTATCAACTGCAGTCCCTAATGAAGAGTCCCTCTCCAGCATCCTTTTAGGCCCCCTCTTAGGATTTGGAATGAAGGGCTGTCCCCCCAGTGAAGCATGAAACAAAACCACCCCCCCAGACCTCTAGATTTTACCTCCTCCTTATCACCACTAACAGATCCATTCTTTCAGCAAACCTCAGAGTCATCTGCAACACCTCCCTTAACCTTTTGTCCCCTTGGATCACAAGCATTCATTCCTTCCTTTTTTAATTTGTACTCTTTCAAATCTAGACCACGCTTGACTGATTTTTCATAAAACGTAACCTTTTTCTGCACTTTCCAAGTCTCGGGATTTGCCTTATTGGTACAGCAGAAATGCCCGAGTTAAAAACAATCTCTTGCTTTTGCCATTTTCTTCCTCCTTCTTTCAAATTTCTTTGGGCTTCTGCCTTGACATAAAAAGTTCAAGTTTCTTATCTCCACCTCTGAAGAAATGACAGACTTGCTTTTTTGTTCTGTCCTCCTTTTCCCTCTGTATGTTTCTCTGAATCCTCTTCTACATCTGTTTTTCTCTGTCCCTTCTCATGCTTGGTTTTATATCATTTCATTGCTGGCCTTGCAGTTGGAACAGCTATGTTTTACCTGCCAGCAAGAGCCTTCTCTCTCTTAAGTTTCTCTTTAATCACATCTGCATCAGTTTCCATGGCAGTTGTATTCCCTTGCAATGTACAGTCTGTTATCTTCCAAGGTATCAAAATATTTGCCTGATTTAAGCTGATGGTTAGTGAATATGGGCCATATTTAACCCTTGGAAAATTCAACTAAGTTGATAAAATATACCAGATATGAATCTGGCCTTGTATTTGTAGCATTTGTAAATCCCTATGTCCATCTGTGAGTCAAACCAATCCTTTGGCAACTTTTCATTATCTTGTTTCATATGCTTGTCATATAGGGAAATAAAACACTCGTCTGCATGATGTGGCGGTTGTTGTCCAGGGCTTTATTCTGATTCCCATAGCTTAGATGTGAAATACACTTTTGATAGGATTCCTACTGGGTGTTAATCAATACTGGCAGCAACTCAGACCTCAGTGGACTTACCACGTTTGTCTTATCATCCCATCAAATTTTAATCAGGCTTTAATGGCTTAGCTAAATAAACTTTGCTCAACAGCTGAGTACAGATGCAATATCTGAGTAGTTGCCATTGCATTTATGCAGCCCTGCAAACACCCTGAAAAAATGTTGGTTTTTAATTCAGCTACAGTTTGCTTTCAAAAACATGTACATTAAATATCCTCCTCCTATTACAGGTCCTTCAATAGCACTGGTGTATAATGGGGTAGTGAAGAAATTCAGTTGGGGAGGAAGCATGATACCCTAAGTTTCTCTCGTTGCTTTTCACCCTCTCCTTTCCACCTCCAGCATGCAATAATTCAGTTCTTTAAGGTTTTTTTCTGTTTTACTACTGAGCAGCCTTTTTGAGGTTTTATTTCTGTATAGAACTGTATCGGGCTAGATCTACCAAAATTCACATTGCAAGTATAACTCACTCTTCAGACTATCATGGGGATTACACTCAGGTTTATATTGCTAGTACTGAATAAGATTAACTGTCAATTTCTTCTTTAATCTACTGTTATGAGGGTTCTGTACAACTAGTAACACTTAATTTCATGAAATATAACACAGAAAACCCTGGAATTATCTTAGTTTATGCTATTTATGCTTAGTTTATACTTAATAATGCTACTGAGAGAGCTTATACAAGAATCTAAGTGCCTCTTCAACCATTAAAAATACAGGCAATCTTTTTAATATTAAAAAAAACCCAACCCATGTTGCAATATGAATCCATGCCAAAGCTTGTTTTAGGTTACTACAGCCACCTTCAAACCTAGACAGAACAGCAATGGTAGCCTTGCAATCTGTGACCCTGTTTTCCTTACTCGGCTACAGTACCAAGAAAGGGATGTCCTGGAAAAACCAGGTGTCCCTGACCACTTTGGTGCACTGGATTACAGCTGTCACTGAGCTGGAAGGGACTATGAGGGGGGAGCAAATCATCTCCTCTCCCTGGGTTACTCCTGACACGCTTTTCTAACCTGCAATTAAAGACCATCAGGGCAAGTATTTCTTATCCTACTTGCTCTACATCACATCTTACATAAGATGCCTCCCTTCAGCATGGCACTTTGAGAGGCACAGATTTTTTTGTCCTCTTTGTATCTGCTTTTATGCCCATGAAGACTGAGTATCTTTCTTGGCCTTTTCTTTGGGCTTAACAGAGGTTCAGTCCACAGCTCTCACTTGCTTGGTAACTATTCTTTTTGCT